CCTCTGGTACGTTGCACCAGCGTTATTTAACCCGAAGGGCATCACTCTAATAGAATGTTCCCCAGGGTGTGATAAACATTGTTTTTTCCATGTCCTCTGGAGCCATTCTTATTTGATTATACCCAGAAAATCCGTCCATGAACGAGAATAATTTGAATTTTGCTGTGCTATCCACTAACATATCAATGTGAGGCAATGGAAAATCATCTTTTGGACTAGCTTTATTTAGATCTCTGTAATCTATGCACATGCAGACTTTTCCGTCTTTTTTCAGTACTGGGACAATATTGGCAATCCATTGAGGATACACTGACGTCACAAGAAAACCAGCATTAATCTGCTTTAGGACCTCCTCTTTGATCTTTACTGCCATATCTGGGTGGGTTCTTCTCAACTTTTGTTTAACTGGCGGACACTCTGGTTTCAATGGCAAATGATGCTCAACAATGTCTGTATCTAGATCAGGCATGTCTTGATAAGACCAAGCAAAAATATCCACATACTCTTTCAACAGCTCAATCAACCCGCTCTTCACATCAAGATGCAACGATGCTCCAATCTTAATCTCTTTCGGATCTTCTTTTGAACCCAAATTAATCACTTCCAAAGGCTCCTTATATGGCTGAATGGTATTATCCTCGTGCTCAAGCAACCGTGAGACCTCTTCTGGAATCTCGTCATAATCTTCTTCTTCAGCCCCAAACACAGGACATTCAAAGTTGGGAGAGGGTGCAGGGTCATTGTATTCAACGAGTTTTTTAATTAATCTGCTCATATGATTTATGATTGCTTTTAGAAACTGACACATATAACAAGTGATCATGAAGATTAATTTTCAGTTATCATTTATTTTGAAAGGGTTTTTTATTTGATTACCATTTCCCAAGAAAAAGCAGAAAATAAAGACATATTTTTGGAAGCAAAGACAACTTTTATTAATGATATTAAAAATCAAAGCAAACGGATAAGCCCATACAATACTTTCACCTTGGGCAGAGTGAAAGCTTTTCAAAGAAAGAAACAGATTAACAAAACAAATTACTTTGAAATATGTATGTAAGAAGGAACATCAATGGTGACCCAGTTTTGAACTTGGACTCCATGCGTCACAAAATTCGGTACTTCCTGCTCTCCTTCATTTTCTTCAACAACATTGATTCCAGAACCAATTGGATGGAGGTAGCCTCCGCTGCGGAAAACATCATGATAACTTTTCACAGGAGACTTTGACTTCAAACTTTCGCCTTTGCCATTCTTCGAAGAAAAACCCAAACCAGTTCTGTTCTTGTTCACGGGTGGATCCACCAGTCGTCCCCAAACTGCATTATGACCATTGCGCACAACATGCTGCGCGTCCTTCAGGGAAACTACATAATTCTCATTCCTCCTTATGTTGTCAATGGATAGGGCTTGGAATTGGGTTCCAATAGCAGCCTCATCCGCTTCTACAATACTGAAAGAGGATAGATGGGATATCAACAACGCCTTCTCCCCATTTATGATCACTACCTTCCCTTCACGCACAAATTTTAGCTTCTGATGCAGAGTTGAAGTGACAGCCCCTACTTCGTGTATCCATGGTCGTCCAAGCAAACAACTATATGCGGGAATAATATCCATAACCTGGAAGGTTATCAAGAACAAATGTGGTCCTATATGGATGGGCAGGTCCACTTCACCGATGACAAATTTCCTCGACCCATCAAAAGCCTTCACAATGATGCCACTCGGGCGCATAGATGTTCCTTGATACTTTAACTTCAAGAGGGTACTTCTCGGTATGACATTCAGCGCGGATCTGTTATCAATTAGCACATTGGACAGCGAATCATTCTTACAGTTCATGGATATGTGGAGGGCCAGGTTGTGATTCCTCCCTTCATCTGGTAACTCATCATCACAGAAGCTCAAATTGTTACATGACGTAATGTTTCCAATTATGCTGCTGAATTAATCTAATGGCATGTCATTCTCTACAAAATCTTGGTCTAGTACTCTCATCAGCGATTCTCTATGAGCAGAGGAATTCATCAATAAGGCTAGAATAGATATCTTTGAAGGAGTCTGCAATAGTTGATCTACAATTCTGTAATCGCTCATCTTAATTATCTTCAAGATATCATCCACTTCTTTCTATAATGTGGCTCCACTAGTCCCTCCTGCAGACTTCTTAGGCTCATCATTCTCAGCAATCTTCTTTCCAGCAACAACATCTCTTCGAATGACCGGCGCAAATACACGACCACTACGGGTCACTCTGCTATTATCAGCTATATTTCCAACATCTGGCATCGGCTGGATGGGAATCTCCACCCCATGTTCTAATATCATAGCATTGTATTTGTAAGGCACGGCCTTATCTGATTCATAGGGAACAGGACCTGGAAGACTAATTACCAATGGGGCAACAGCTGGTTTGCTATGGTACTCCACCTCAAGATGAGTGGGTGCACCAAAACAAGGTACAATGACATTCACCACTTCCTCAACACAATCAGCCATCAAAAATTAATTTCCGGCAAACAAATCTTCGTCTGAAGAGAAATACTCATCTACGGAGGCATACCCTTCCTCTGACTCTTCCATCAAACAGACTTCAACCATATCAATCTCATGATAATCATCTCTCTGACCTGTGATCTTGATGGTTCCATTGTCTAACAACAATTGAACACCTTCCCTCACAACAGAACATCCTCGGGGATTTCGACAACAAATTATGCAAGATCCATATTGGTGTTCCACCTGACCAGCAGTATGGCAGAAGGTAGCATGTAACTGCACTAGATCCTCATTCAAATGATCCACATCAAAAATTCTAAATTCACCCGGACATCCAGAAACCATATTCACTTCCTCTTTATATTATGCCCTAGGCCTGATTATATGGATTAAACCCTTCATCCATCATCTCCTGCAAATCAGCATTTATCTTCTCGCAACCCTGTATATCTGTACTGCAAATAGCACAACTGGTATGGTCATGCGTATAATAACTGAATTTACAGAGATCTGTGTGCATCTTCACCAAATCCCCTCTAACCAGATTAATGTCAAAAATTCGAAAGTCGCCTGGACAACCGGCCACCATATTCACAACATTCACTTCCCCGTGCTTGGGTAGAGGATTGTCTTTCACATTAGGTCCCACGTCTTTGAAAGATAAAATTCCAGACTTCAACAACCTTTGCACTTCAGTCCTCAAAGGATAACAATTCTCAACACTATGCCCTGGTGCTCCCTGATGAAAGGCACACGTCTGGTCTGCTTTGTAATACCACGACAATGGTGATGGTACAGTGGGAGGTGGTCGTGTCTGGACCAACTTCTTCTGAACCAATGCTGGTAATAGCTCTGCATAGCTCATGGGAATAGGATCATAGTTCTCCCTTCTCTGATTATACCCTTGATTCCCCTGTTGGGATGGTCTCTGATAAGCAACGGTAGTTGGAGCGACATTCATAACAGGAGTAACTGAGGCGACTTGCTGATGACGCTGATAATTCCTTCTAGGAGCGTTTACCTTTCTCTCTTGCATAACAGCATTTGTATCCCCCTCTTTCTTCTTTGTAAACCCGTAAGATGGCTTCTTCACACCTCCGGATCCTTCACCCTTTATCAAACGGCCTTCTCTTACTGCCTCTTCTAGGCGGACACCCATTCCTACCATCTCTATAAAATCACTTGGGGCACTTGCTACCATTCTTTCGTAGTAGAAAGCTCCTGGCGTCTTTAGAAAAATCTTGGTCATTTCTTTCTCTTCCATGGGCCGAATCACTTGTGCAGCCACTTCGCGCCATCTCTGTGCATACTCTTTAAATGATTCACTGTCTTTCTGAACCATGGCCCTAAGCTGGTCACGGTCAGGCACCATGTCCACATTGTACTTGTATTGTTTAATGAATGCTTCTCCCAAATCATTAAAAGTATGGATGCTGACGCTGTCTAAACTCATGTACCATTTCAACACAGCACCGGTCAGACTATCCTGGAAAAAATGAATCAACAGACGCTGATCATCAGTATGGGTAGACATCCTTCTCACATACATCACCAAATGAGCACGAGGGCAAGTGTTGCCCTTGTACTTCTCAAATTCCGGGACCTTGAACTTAGCAGGCACTTTAACATTCGGGACCAAACACAGCTCATTCACATTCTGCCCGAACAACTCTTTTCCCCTAAGAGCCTTCATCTCTCTTTGCATTCTATCAAATTGCTCTTGGAAATCATCCATTTTTTCATAAAGACCCAAGTCTTCACTCGGCGGAGGGAAATGACGACACACATCTTCATTAACAAATGGAACCAAATTCACCGAAGGAGGTGCAGCAGGAACAGTATGCACCACAGGAGGTGCAGGAGTAACAACATTTGGAACCACTGGAGCATCTTGAGAACCCAGATTGAAACCTTCAGGTGCAAAATTCTCTGGCATTCCCCATGGATAACCCTGAGGCATACGGTTTTGAACAATAGTCGGAGTAGCGGATACAGGAACAGACAGAACTTCAGTACTTGCCCTTGTTGGTTGGGGTTGAACACTCGGTGGCTGATTCTGAGCAACCACCAGAGCTTCCATCAGAGTAGTCAAGTTGGCCAAGCCAGCCTTCAAAGAAGAAACTTCTTCGCGCAGCTCACGATTCTCCTGTTCTAAGTTGTCCATCTTCTTTTTGAAATTAGCCTGAGTGTTGTAGTGATGAGTCAGCTTGCTGAATGAAGTAAAGAAGCTGGGTAAGGCACCTGGATATGCATAACAAATGCAAAAACATGTGCAATATGATGCATGATATGCAATGTATATGATTATTATTATTTTATCATTTAATATTTCAAGGGATTTAAGATTTACAGACATATTGCAAACATCAAAATAACAACGCATTTGAAGTACTGAAAACTTTTATTATAATAACTTCGAAATGGGTTACAAGTTTCAATGATCCCAAGTACAAGATGAAAATACAATCTAAAATCCTGAGAAAAGGAACTGATATAGATCAATCTGTACGAATGCGCTTCCCTGTGAGCCTGGAAATCTGAGCTCTCAACCTCTGGTTTTCTTCCCCATGTCTGATGGCAACCTCCTTCCAATCATCTGAATCAGGAAGTGAACAAACAACACCTGTTTGAGGCTTAGGAGAAAATAAATCTCCTTGCCTCTCCATAGACTCTACTGCTCGACTCTCAAGGATCTCGATCAAATCATCTCTCTCCTTCAGGTCTGCTCTGTAGGAACTCTCTAAAGTCTGGAACTTGTTCTTCCAAGCATCCGTTTCCTGTTGCATCCTAACCAAAGCAAGTTGCAGCTCTTCTAGATCATCTAATAAGGGAGGAGTGGTATTTACAAACAAATCAGGCATGGGTGTCTCCCGAGTATACGGCATCTTCAACTGAATGGCTCTCGATCGGACCCACTGAAGATATGGCTCCAAAGAAATAACACCCCTAGGTCCCAAATCCTTCCTACTCTTCTTATGAATGTGACGCCAGGCCTTCGCAGTCTGCTCCCTAGCTTCCCTGTGGTCTTCTCCTTCCTTCAGAAAGAAACTACTCAGATGAATATTGTTCGGTTTATCCCTCATCGGATAACCAAGTTGTCGCCGTGCAAGAACAAGGTTATAGTTAATTCCTCCCTTTGTACCAAGAAGAGGCACATTGGGGAAACTACCACAACTGTCAATAATCTCCGCATCCTAGTAAGCTCGATGATACCAATCAATATCCGAGTGAGTAAGTGCCATGATCTTAGGAGCCCAACGGGGTTCCTTCTTGACATCCCAAAAAGCGTCAAACTGAGGCATATGAGAGGTAAACCACTGATACAACAAAGGCGTGCAACATATAATCATTCCCCCATGATAATAATTCCGAAGATGAACAGAGTAATAAGCATCACCCAACAGTGTAGGAACCGGGTTCCAATCATGAAAATGTTGATAGCGTTAATGTCGACAAACTTGTCCACATTAGGAAATAAGAATAATCCATAGGCGAGTAAAGCAAAGATGGCCTCAAAAGCAACCGTACTCTTCATCCTGGAAAAGTAACGAGCTTTATCCAATAAGAACTGAGTTGGTAATCCTCTAATCCCTCCTTTGGTAGTCATATGAGCTTCCACCTCAGACTTCCCCAGATGAATCAAAGCAGCAATCTCATGTGGTTTTGGCTCACCCTCTAAACCAGTAAAAGGAACGAGATCGATAACAGGTAAATCCAATAGATAGGAATACTCTTCCAATGTTGGCATCAACTGATAATTGGGAAAAGTAAAGCAGTGATACACCGGATCATAGAACTGGACCAAAGTTGAGAGAAAACCCTCCTTCATCTTCAGCTTCATGGGAGGAATAATGGATCCATACTTCTTACGAAAGTCTGCAGAACACTCGATCTCGGGAATTAGACTGATCAACTCATCTATCTTAGGATCCTTGAAACTGTATTTCCCGGTCTTTCTCTTTCCAGAATCCATGGTTAAAAAGTACCTGAGATATTCACAAATAGTAAACCTTTAAATCCCTTGAAATATTGTTTTTTTCAAAAGATGCTTATGAGTGCATGGATGCATGATGCAACAATCACACACAAGATCACACATATAGGGTTTATAGGTTCAACGTCACGAGCATGAGGTCGAAGGTACTACCCATAAGGTATTGGTCTAAAAATTTATCACCTGCCGAACAAGGTTCTAGAGGTTCTCAGAGTCTACATCCTTCCTTCGGATATTACCAACTTCTCGATTAACTCGGTAATTAGTAATATTCTCAAGAAAGACTCGTCCGAGCGTAGTATCGCGTGACAACTACTTCCGGATTACTCCGTTATAGCTTCCGCACTACACCTAAAAGGCCAAGAGGGGTTAGGTAATCTACGGTCCTCAGCTTCGGCAGGCTCCCAGGTCGAAAGCAGTACGTCTTCCTGATTACTCGGTAAACGACACTACAGTCAAAGGGGCCTCCACTGAGTGGGGGATCTCATGCCTCCTTTTTTGGGATTACTCCCGCAAAGTTAACATGACTATACCGCCCGTCCTATCTTAAAGTTTGCCCAAGTCCGGGTATAGGACTTATAAGTAATCACCAAGCACCCTGTAAACCAGGAAAATCCAGACAAACATATATATAAAATATAACACATAAACAACAATAACACATATACAGATATAAACAAAGATAGGTTTAACCCACTTAGGGATGGACCAGCAAGAGATCAATCTTTCCCCAGTGAAGTCACCATTTTTCTGTGGCGGTAGAAATGTGCAAGACTGAGCCATTGGATTGACTAGACTTTATACAAATCAAAATAAAAATTGCCACCGCGCTTTATTGTTTCCAAAGGAATGGGAAAGAGCGAATAACCCAAAAAGAGTGGGAAAGATTCAAGGTAAGGGGGTTGGTTATGCAAAGGGAAGGTATTAGCACCCTAAACATCTACGGTACTCCGCAGGAACCTCTTTGAAAAATCTGTATATTTTGGCTATAAAAATGTGTTGTATATAAAATGGATGGTGGAGGTAAGAAAAGAAATATTTTTATGATTTTTGCACCCGCCGCGGTTGCGAACCCACTACAAGAAAATTGGCAGATTGCGACAGGTATTTTTGTAGATTATGACGGTTAAAACCGTCGCAATTTGCTTTCCACGACGGTTGCTTTACCGTCGCAGAAGTGTGTGTCCCCAACCTATTTCGCGACGGTTACAAAAACTGTCGTTCAAGTTTACGACGGGTTGATACCGTCGTGACTATCTTTTGAGTTTCTTTTAATTATTAATGGCGACGGTTCGATACTGTCGTGAATATCTTTTGAAATTGATTAAATTGTTTATGGCGACGGTTCGATACCGTCATGACTTTTGTTGATTATTTTTAATTGTTGATTACGACGGTTCGGTACTGTCGCCATGACTTTTGTTTATGTCTTGATTTTTTTTTATTTTTCTATTATATATATTTTTTATTTAAATTATTATCTATGTAAAAAAATTTAAATATAGTTTTTTTTTGTGTTATTTTTTTCTTTAAATTATTTCTTCTTTAATATATTTATTTATAGTATTATTTTTTGTTTTATTTTCTATCACTTTGTAATACAGTAAAAATAATTTCAATAAAAAATATTTAACATCAAATAAGCATTATAATATCCAAAAAAATGTGTGTTCCATAATCATGTAAAATGCGAGTTCCATAATCATGTCAAGTAGTACAAAAAACCCAAAATATATCAATTCCTAATCTTATAATAATAAGTATCATTATGCCAAAAATACATGAGAAAGTTCACAATCTAATTATCTCGATCATAGCAAAGTCTAATTTGTCCCTCCTGAAGTTCCATTATCTCCAATACGTTAGCTAGACTCAGATGAACGTCTACCATCAGCGGGTGATTCCAATCCCTAAAAAAAGGTATTAAAATAATAATCTTTAAAATAATACTCATAAAATTTAACTTTAAATGCGTCAAAATAATATACCTGTCTTCCACTAAAATTCTGCATTTGCATTAAGAGTTCAATTTCCTTTGTCCTTGCCTTGTCCCTTTGCGTTAAGAATATGATTGCCTGTGTTAATTCATCAATTTTTGAATTCTTTTCTTTAAGTGCATTAATTTCTTCTTGCATTTCCTTTATTTGTTCACTTTCTGCAGAAGAAGATGTCGATCTCGTAGATCTATTAATTTGAGATGGTGTAACTCCAAGTCCCATACTACGAACATATCCATGCTTTTCTCATGAATTGTTTGTACTATCAAGCAAACGATCAACAACATATAGATTTAGACATACCAACTCATGTTTCTTCCTTGCAAGCGACTTAGATCCGAGTGTATGCGGAGCCTTCAATTTTGCTCTATTTTGGGAATTTTTTTGGGATATTTTCTACATTTGTAACAAATAAAAACATGCATTATAGATAGGGATAACATACAAACCAGAGAAATCTAACAAATAAAAACACTAATGTTACCTGTGTTTTTTCTTGTTTGCTGGATTTCTTTTGAAGTCACTGCCAAGAGGGTTAGCAATTTGAGCTGAAGCAAGAAACAAATTACCTTAAGTTTATTTTATTCTTCAAATATTAAAGGCTAGATCATCTCATGAATTTTTGAAGTCAAACGGAAGCATTACGTTGCAAGCTTTGGATCTCGTTCCACGTGAGATCGAAGGAGAAAATTCCACTATTTGGTTGAATTTCTGGAACATTGGAAGTCCGCGACATGAATTTAGTCATAGCAGTTGTATCTGCCATTAGGTCTGCTGTATTTGAGCAGAATGAAATTCCATCTTTTGTCATTTGAACCGAGCAATCTATAATGCCAGCTCCGTCGTCTATTGCTTGTTGATAAGCAAGATTGGTAGAACCTGGATAAACGCCACTTGCTCCGTTATTGCTAATGATCAAAGGTTGTCCTGCAAAAAACAAACGCATTAGCATCTTTTTGCATCTTGTTTATAAGGTTCTATGACTGTTGTGAGAAGTTCAAGAATAATACTATTACCTTTTTTCGGCAGTGTATTGTTGAGTGCAAAGCATGCTGAAAAAACAAGAAATTCAGTTCCATATAGCCCAGTTATCTTCTTTTGAACTAGTCTTCTAATAAGCATAGTTTTGAATATCTCTTCACTCTCACCGCAGAAAATGTTAATAAGAAAGGTCTAGTGTTTTCAACTCACCTATAGAATTTGATGCGGTTGAAGGAAAATCAGTAACAAGACCATCAACACATTCGTCTTTCGCTATAAATTGTAGGTACTCAGCAGTAGGATCATAGTTATAATCATAGCTTGAAAAGAAATCATTCGCAAAACCAGAAGCATACACTTCCAGTCCTTGTTTATGTGCATCAGATACTAGGGTTGTGAGAGGCCCCAAGTAATTGTCTGGTTTAACTGGCCATATGTATTCTTTCGGCACTATTATGCCAGATGCATATGACTTGATTGCCGCAAGATCTTTCACAATGGTGCCATACGGTTGCATTATTGTTGGTTCGACATCACTTGCGTTAAGAAATTGAAAGACGAACTTTGTTTTCTTCCTAACTTTCTCATTGACACTTGTTAAGAAACCGATCTCTGGAGATGAAATAAAGTCTATAGTATAAAGTCTCAACATTTCTAGTACTTTATCAACTAGCTTTACGTCGTGTTGGTCATAAAATGCTTGGTACTGCAACAGAACAATCAATTTGAAAATAAGAACTGTGTATAAAATGATTATGCGTCACGAGATAGAGATGGAGAGAACCTGAAAATTCAACCAAACCCTTGGTGGAGTTTTGCTACTTAGAATACCATCAACATTGAGTATGGGAGATAAGCCGTCGTAGAAACTTGGACGCGAAAAAATGGCCTGATTCACTGCAACATAGGATAAGAACATAAACCTCAACTTTATAATAAATAAAGAATCTCTTAGTTGAAGACTTACTCGACACATTATGGTCAATCTGAGCAGCAGTGTAATCCACCATGAAGTGTCCTTGCACATCCTTTCCATTAATGTTGTAGGTTTTCTCATTTGGATCAAACGTTGCTATAGTTGTTGCATTGTCAAGTTTAACTCCTGTCACACAAAAGGCACCAGCATCTTTTGTAAACTGAACATTACAAAGAAAAATGCTTATCTCCTTCGACATGCCGATTGCTTCTCTACTTCCTTCTGGGAATAGACCCGTGAATCCTCCGCGTGCTATTACAACTGGCTCGTTACCTACGGTAACTCATATGGTCAAGAATTAACAAAAACAAATCTTTAAATCTTCAAAATTATATTTTCAGAATTCTAGTACTTACGAGAACATGTTATTTTGAATATAAACAATAGAAAAAATAAAAGAGATGAGTTTTATTATTGGTTGTTTAATTTGTTTTTACACACTACATAACAAGTTTATAGGTGAAGCCTTGTGATATCAATTAGTATAATACAGTTTCATGTAACAGACATATATGGATAAATACTTCATATCAATATGTTTACTACATTTAGCTAGGTACTTCAAGAATATTTACTTATGTTGTGTCAGTGTGCGAGTGCGACCTTAATATTGCTTTGTACTAGGATTTTAAAGTGCTTTTGCGGTCCCGTATGAATGCGATTGCAAACATTGCAATTTTGGTTATTACAATTGCTTATAAGAATAATGTATTTGTAAAGGCACACTCAAATTTAAGATAAAATTCTTATAAGATAAAATTCTTTAGTCTAACACTATTAAACAGTGATATAGTAAAGGCACACTCAAATTTAAGAATGAAATCATACCTCAAAGACGCACGAGGGTTTGGAGAGCAGCGAAGCAAGTGGAAGAGAAAAGTTACCTACAACAAAAACCAAAGCAGCATATCAATAGTTGGTAGAAATCATAGATTTATCAAATAGAAATCTTATATTTTTCAACAGCTCATATCCCTTTAAATCCAACAAAAACATTATTATTTTCATTCTAGTGCAGAAGACACTTCATGTTTCAGATGCATGAAGGGGTGCAGCTCAGTTTCTTGAGAAGAAGGGGTTCACTCAATTTACTCCTCACTTTATAACTTGGTACTGCCCTAATGATTTTCTCTTAAGCAATCAATGCAAGTCTCAGTGTATAAACAACGGCCGGTACTGTGCTCCAGACCCTCAATAGCATCTATGATATAATTTAACAGAATTCCAGATTACTAGATCTGTTTTGTATTATTTATAAACTGTCAATGTTTTTCAATCGACGCTACCGTCTTCCCCTCTTTTGATCAAAATGTCTCGAAGATATGATAGTCGTACAACAATATTCTCACCCGAAGGACGCCTTTATCAAGTGGAGTATGCAACACCACTCTTGATCATCTAGCCATCTTAAACACTTGTTCGATGTGTCATAAACCCTTCTACACACAAATGATGAAATCCCTTCAGGAAGTTTGACGCCTTTAGGAAGGAATGCAACTTTACAAGGATGGATTAGCAATTCAGCATCAATCTCACTCTTATGAAGGGAGTAGAAAATCTCGTTGGGAGCAGCCTCCAAGGGCTCTGCTTTGCTGAGTTTTACTTCAATGGACCGATAAAGCCAATTAACACTTAACTTTAATTTACTTTCTTTACCAAGTATCAAACTACGAATTACTCCAATAAAAGGCGGGCGATCTTTTGATGGTTTGAAGAGAGCACAATCACCAACACTAATTATTCGACCGTCCTACATTTGCAAAGAAAGAAAAATCTGTCTAAATCATTACAGTTCAATTAACAGAGTAACTCTGTAGTTTACATTTCAAATAACAAACATTACACATTCCCATTTATGTTTTTGACAGCTATTCGACAGCTAAACCCTTCAAAGCAATATTCTAAGGTACATGTTCTTCTTTGGCAATAGAAGAAAAGTAGTTCATTAACTAAACAAGAAAATCACAATAAATTGAAACCTGTATTTAGACTTGAAATTAGTTTTTTTAACACAGATTATCATGCAACCAAGTTTGGCTTCTCTAAATGAAGTGATAAATATGCTTGAGAGAAAATTACAAAACCATAACCATTTATTAGAAAATAGATGCTCGAGATTAAGATGAAATACATGCACATGCAGTAACACATTTTCAATCTCTGTTAATAATAACATAGTGCAACCCTCATATTAGAGAAAGCCCGAAGGTACTGAGTAAAACTATGGACACCACTAGTCTTACCTCGGATAAGCTTGAACTTGCAGAAGTTTTTCTTTCACCCTCTGGAAAAGTTAAGTATCAAGTTTGCTCCCCAGAGAATTTGACTAAGCTGTTGGTGAAGTCCGGAGTGACTCAACCCTCAACAGACACTGCTTAGCTTTCTGTTCTATGTCACGGGTAATTTACTTGCTAAAGTTTCCTACATGTGAGATTGTTCCAAAGTTTTTTTACGTTAAAACTTGTAAACTTCTCATACTTTGGTGATGCTAATGATTTTGCATTTCGTATACAGACTCGACAAAATTTGTGGATGGAAAGTGCAGATGGTGTTCAACGGCTCAAATCTTATTGATCAATAGGATCAAAATAGTTTGCAGGAATTTCCCCAGCAGTCAAAGATGCCATACTCAGAAACTGTTTGTAACCCCTACCCAAAAACCACAACCCTAAATGGCAAATTTTGAATCACATCTAAAAACCATAATTTTACACCCCAAGAAACTACAACCTGATAACTCAAATTAAAACTGAACAAGAATAAGAAACAGATGAACAAGTTAATATACCAAAAGCACAAGGAAAATGAAAACAATGAAGGCTAGTTTAATGAAAAGGGCTAAAACATGGATAGTGGCTAAAAAAGAATAGACGATACAGAAACTAAACTCAGAAATCTCTGCTCAGTTATAAAGAAAAGTGAAATATCAAAGATGGAGAGGAAGATGATGAAGAGAATGGCAGAGAATGGCATCAGGTTTATAACCCCTGTCAACCATGCGCTTAAGAAAGCGGAGAGCTCGATTGTACTTAGCTGATTTGAATGACCTAATGAGAGCTTCATCGTAATCTTGATCAAGTTTTGGCCTTGTTTCATTGACCCTGATTCTTGTTCTTCGGTTGTTGGTGTTGCCTGGGGTTGAGGAAGTGACGATAGTGTTGGGATTTGAACGGCGAGAAGTGCGGTTTGGGTGGTTTCTGAAATTGAGAGTGTGTGATAAGAATTCAGTTGAAAAGGTTGTCATTGATGATGACGATGATGTTATCGGTTGTTGTTGGAAGATTTATGGCTTGAGTTTGGATAAAATTCAGTATCATAGAATGGATAAGGGACGATACATATTTTATCCTAACCAAATATTATCCTAAAAAATCATTAAAAAAAATAAAACCCTAAAATAACAAATTAGAAAACCTAACATCAATTCAATATATTCAAACTCAAATGAAAGGTTTAAGGGTGCGAAGGTTGTTTTACCGTCGTGAAATGAATTTTAGGACGGATAATTTTACCGTCGTGAAAGGTTTAAGGGTGCGACGGGTGCTTTACCGTCGTGATATGCCTTTTAGGACGGTTAATTTTACCGTCGTGACTAGTTGTTGGTGAAAAATCAATGTTAAAAGTGTTAAATGGGGGCCGACGGTTGTTTTACCGTCGTAATAATAATATTATGATGGTTAAATATACCGTCGCAAAATAAATATTAGGGACGGTTGGTGTCAACTGTCGTAAACACTGTCTCTATATGTCAATTACGACAGTTATCACATAACTGTCACAATTTTTGTGTCGTTAAACACTAATTTTCTTGTAGTGACCTTTAGTGCCTACGTACCACCTTTCATGCAATAGAGGATCAGGGTACACGTAGTTCCTCTTTAAAAAATTTGAAACACAAGTGTGTTGGTTGATTTTATGAGATAAGACATCATCGCAATTGTCTGTGTGAAAAACATACTTACTACCCACAATCATGAGAAAGGAGAATATGCATCATCTCAAAGTGGAGGATATGGCTTGGATTTTAAAATCAACAATGCCTCACTCAACACCCAAGTGGAAAATATCTCACTTCACTACATATTGTAGAAGTATAGTTGTTTGCATCACTACAAGGATTGACAAGAGTCTAATCTTTTGAGAAAAGTTTAAAGATAAAAGCCAAAGTGGCAAAATGGTTTGAAATGAGATTGATTGACTTTTAGGATTCTCACAAAAAAAAGGTCAAGGTATTATTAAATTGATTGAAATTTATTTATGAAAATGTTTCGAAGATGCATGGACCTAAGTCCAAGTTTATTATGAAAATGTTTCAAGTTTCAAAACAAGAAGAGTTTTTTTTAAAGGAGGGAGAAGATTTTTGAAATTAAAGAAGATGGGAGGAGAAGAAGAGGCTATCCTAAAGAATAAGGTAAAAGCTAGGGATAAGAACCATCTAACCAACAAGAAGCCAATACTTGACATTATGAGTCAATATAGAATTCCCATTCTTCTGATTGAAACCAAGCAAGCAAAGATACTAGACCTCTTGAGAGAACCAAACTTCAAGTGTTTTAAGTCTTCGCAAAAATTGGGCAGAGTAACGGCTGTATACGGGTGAATTCCATATTACAAACAAAGATCGTAATCTCAATAACCTACACACAAAACAAACAAACAACCCAATGTCTTGAGGTAAACCTCAAGAACTCCAGACAAAATATCAAATAAATTCACAAAGTCTCCAAGATAGGCCAAGGTCTCTAATCCTAAGTCCAAGAAGTCCATCACTCCATAATGCAAAGGATAGTAACCATGTAGTCCAAGTATCATTAATGATTTTTATGGTTCATGTTGATTATTAGGTGTCTTTAAAAAGAAAGAAAAGCTCAAGTGAGCAAAATAAAAATGACATAAAAGTAAATGCTCAAGTGAGCGAAGATGAAAATAGCATGAAATGTAAAATGCTAAAAGTAAATGGTACATAAAGCATGAAAATAAAAGCGTAAAGTAAAGTTAATTGTTAGTAATTAGTGGTTAGTTGGATGACCATCTTGAAACTTGCATTTGGAACTCATTAGAGGATTGGTAGAACCAAAGCCTCCACACAACAAGTTGCATTTGCTTTTTGTCAAGTATATCATCCATTTTGGAATTCTCACAAGGCAACATGTAATGATCAACGATGTTTAAGTGATCCGCGTTGACCAAAGGTGTTGTAGATCCATTAGAGGATTGGTAGAACCAAAGCCTCCACACAATGAATCTCAAGGTTATTGGATCAAAGATATCAAATTAACATACTTGGGCTTGCAATCATAAGTTAAGTTTGGGCCACGAATGATCATTTATTCGAATCGGGACAAAATTTAGCGCTATGTTAAGCAATCGTAAGTGGACTTATGTAGAAGTCACACCTATTTTGAGGCAGGTCAATAGCAATCTATGTACTTCATGTTTGGATAAATGATATAGAGATCACCATCCCTTAACATGTAGCACAATTAAAAAAAGAAAGGGATAAGATGAAGAGGGAGGGGAATGATAAGCTAATTTGGATCACCATTTCAAAATCCTTTCATCTTTAAATTCAACCACTCCTCTAGATGGATTAAAGCACTAAACATATCATTAATCCAAAGCACCAAAAATGAATTAAATAATCCACTCTTAGGTAGATTTGAATTGATGAACATTTATCCAACTTCATCTACATCACAGATTCCATTGAGTTTAAAGACAAATTGGACATTTAAAATTGCAATCCAAACCAACAATCAAAAAAAGAGTGAGTAGAAAATTCATTTTGGATCAAAGTTTCCCCAAAACAAGGCAAAAAAGTGCATTATGTCCCTGTGTAAATCGATTGCACTATTGTGTAAATCGATTTACATAATACAGTTTTCTAAAAATTGTGCAAAATTGCTTCTGTGCAATCGATTGCACTACAGTGCAAATCGATTGCACACAGTTACAGTAGTAAAAACAGCATTTTTAAAGGCCAATTTCTTGTTCAAACTTTCCATCAAACACCTTATGATCATGGATCCACTTGAGCACAAAAATTCCATCAAATTATGAGAAAATAACACCATTGAAATCACAAAATAATGCTCAAAGAATCAATCCCAAAGATCACCAAGAGATCACATTGTGAAAGATGAATTATCCAACTTACCAAAGGTAGATCTAGAGAAATATCAAAACAACTTCAAGAATTTGCTTCAATTCAACCACAAGAATCAATTGACCAAGCTTGGATGTAGAGAATTGATGGAGAAAAAGTGTTTGGATGAAGGTTTAGCTCAAAGATTAGTAAGCTTCAATGCAAAGCTTACTAACTTTTTGAAAATGGAGCTTTGAGTGAATTTGGTAGATGGAGAGAATTGAGAGATTTTTTAGCAAGGTGGATTTGGCTATCAAAAGCTTGAAATTTGAATGAAATGAGAGATCTATTTATAGAGTTTTAGGATTGGGATTAGTGATAATTTGGTAATTGATTCTTGGAGCCAAAATTTGAATTAATGATAACTCTTTCAAAAATTAGAGCCAAAATTTGAATTAATGATAATTCTTTCAAATATTAGAGCCAAAATTTGAATTAATGATAATTCTTTTTAAAAATGAAAGATTGGCACTAAAATTTGAATTAATGATACATCTTTCAAAAGTGAAGGAAAATTGGAGCCAAAATTTGACAAGTTCAAAATGCTGATTTTTTTTTAATTTTCACGTTGTGCAATCGATTGCACTACATTGCAAATCGATTGCACAGTGTATTTTTTTCAAAAATGGCGCAAAATACACTATGTGCAATCGATTGCACTTTAAGAGCAATCGATTGCATCAGTGAAAAAAATGAAAATTTTTAATTCTTTTTCTTTGCAAATAGAGATTTTAGGAAAATAATACCAGAAATCCTTATTTGTCAGATGCTTCGACTTGGTACCTACAAAACAAAAATATACAAAGACAAAGACAAATATTTTTTGTATTTTGATTAGAAGTTAGTCAACAACACATATACAAAATACACAACCAAGGTGCTTGGAGATTCCTCAAGAGCAAACTTAAAGATAGGAAAAAAGAGGAAGAACCAACCCTAATGTGATCTTGTTATGATCGAGTTGATATGATATGATAGAGGAATCTTAGGGGAAAAAATTGGGGTACAACAGTAATCATCCGAGATTCCTTCATCATCCTGCTGAGGTTGTAATCATCTGAGATTCTTTCATCATCCTTTTAAGGTAGTAATCATCCAAGATTCCTTCATCATCCTGCTGAGGTAGTAATCGTCCAAGATTCCTTCATCATCCTGCTGAGGTAGTAATCGTCCAAGATTCCTTCATCATCCTTTTGAGGTAGTAATCGTCCAAGATTCCTTCATCATCCTGCTGAGGTAGTAATCGTCCAAGATTCCTTCATCATCCTTTTGAGGTAGTAATCATCCAAGATTCCTTCATTATCCTGCTGAGGTAGTAATCGTCCAAGATTCCTTTATCATCCTGCTGAGGTAGTAATCGTCCAAGATTCCTTCACCATCCTTTTGAGATAGTAATCGTCCAAGATTCCTTCATCATCCTACTGAGGTAGTAATCATCCAAGATTCCTTCATCATCCTTGTGATACGGTGGGAAGAACTGACGGTTTTTGGAATGCTGGTTTGCATTTTGCGTTTTGTTTTCGCAAAATGTCGCGGTAAGCAAGAGTCGCCACCAACTTTTATTTTATCCAACAAGGAAAGGAAAAAGCACAGAAAAATTCCTTTTTCGAGATATTTCTCGAGTACGGGGGTAGATTATAGAAAGGGAAGGTGTTAGCACCCTTTCTATCCGTGGTTATCCACGGGCTCTTAAGTACTTGCTCAATTGTTTTCAAAATTGTTTTCTTTGTGCTTGTGGGTTTGAAAAAGTTTTTTGTTTTAAACTTCGATTTAACTCTTGCTTCTGTCCTCAAGAGCGTATGAAGTGTTTTTGAAAACTTTGTTCGAAAAGTGTAAGTGTGAAAAGTTTTTGTTTTTGAAAGAGCGAGTATCTAAGAACCATCTACCTACTCGAAAAAAGAATCGTTCTATGCTAATTTCCTTTAGACAATGTTATCCTACTATTGATGAGTAGGTAGCACCATCGTTGGAGTTTAAGGGTCAATTCGAATGAGGGACTTACGGTCATCAAAGCAATGTTAGGATGCCTTAGCGGTAACCCTAATGTCTTAGATCATTTGTTTGAGGCAACAATATCCGAGGCAACCGTTTCGAGGCGA